TCCTTACAATTTTAGATGTTATGAAGCATATTTGTTGTCCCATTTTGTGGTCTGCTTCTGTCTGCAAAACACCTTGTGCTACGAGGATTTTATCTATTTGAGCTTCGATGGCTAGCACTTCAGGATAAGTGTTGAGACATTGGGTGGTATCCAGATTATCCTGTTATATTTCACTTACTTGTTTCTCTTTTTTTTTTTTTGGGTGTAAAAGGAGTATATTAGAGTATGGATCAGTATATGGAATTTTTGTGTTCACCAGGAAATATGTAAACTAGGAATGTTATAAGGGGCTGTCTGTTTAGGAATTACTTTTCAGTACCTTCTTGGTTTTACTAATAAACTTCTATGTTATAAGTAGAAATTATTTTACTTGTTATTCTTTCAACTAGAAAGGCCAGCAACTAGATGTCTAGATCTAATCTAAACTGTATTGATCTTTTACGAGCAACTCCTGTCACTGTGATTTGTGTTGGCTGGTGAATCTTTTGCGTTGTATCTTTGTCCATTTAGTTCAGTGTTCACATACATTTGCAATCAAGCTTTTTTTTTTCCTTCCTTTTCTTGTGTGCGTAGTAATTCCTGGTATACTGCTGTTTTCAGGCACCTGGTGCTTCTGAGGCATCTATTAGGGATCTTCCTCCATCTGCAATTGGTGATTCTAATAACTTTGATGCAATGGGACTATTGGAGCGAAGTAAAGGCAAGCTTATTGAAGCATTTGTTGAGCAGGTTCGTGATGGAAGTACGCTGCGAGTGTACTTGCTTCCAGACTTCCAGTTCATCCAAGTGTTCGTTGCTGGAATACAGGTCAATGCAATACAAGTTATATTTTCTTTATGACCAGATTTTGTTACTTTTCCAGTTCGTTTTACCGTGTTGTTTCAATGAACAGGCGCCAACAATGGGAAGAAGAGCAACATCAGAAACTGTTATTAATGCTAGTGTTACTTCTGATGAACCAAATGGAGAATCAACTACTGAACAACGTGCAGCTCCGACATCAGCGCAGAGGTTGGCATCCTCAGCTGCATCTGTAACAGAAGTTGCACCTGATCCTTATGGCAGAGAAGCAAAGCATTTTACCGAAACTCGTGTCTTAAATAGAGACGTGAGATTCTATTTGTTAGCTCTTAATGATTTGTGTTTCCTTCTTACCATTTTTCTAATGCAGTTTAACATACAGGTTCGAATTGTCCTGGAGGGTGTTGACAAGTATAGCAATCTAATTGGCTCAGTGTATTACCCTGATGGAGAATCGGCAAAGGACCTGGGATTGGAGCTTATTGAAAATGTACGTGGTAGACATATTACTGCTGATACTTTAGAACATGTGTCTAATAAGAAACTGAAGTTGTTATAAGGTCACTGTAATTGTTACACAGGCATACTTTTATGTCTTTTTATGTGAGGTTTCTCCCAGAAATTGGAAACTGTCTTAAGCATAGATGGGCCTTTCTTGTTTATTTTCTCTTGTAAAGATTATTTATTTATGGATTAGGATCCTCTTTCACATAAGTTTATTAGCTTTCTGTTGCTGTAACTTTCTCTACTTAGTTTTTATTTTATGAAATTGAGGTTGTAGCATAAAAGAATTTCATTTCGCTCGTCTCTAATTTTTCTATTAGTTAACTTACTTGACAGTGATCCGCTAGTTACTCCTAATTCTAGAAAAGGAAATGTTTAACATTATTTTATATTTAGAATGTTTAAGGTCTATCTAATCTGAACTTTATGCCCTCCCCCCTTCCTTGGCATAGGGTTATGCTAAATATGTTGATTGGAGTGCAAACATGCTGGAAGTTGAAGCCAAGAAGAAGCTGAAATGTGCCGAGCTTGAGGCCAAAAAGACTCGCTTAAGAATCTGGACAAACTATGTAGCTCCAGCAACAAATTCCAAGGCTATTCATGACCAAAATTTCACGGGAAAGGTAGCTTGGAGTCTAAGCTTTTTTAAAGTTCTTCTTAGTTTCTGCATCTCTCTCTCCAATGTTTTGTGCTTGGCTTTTTGTAGGTGGTTGAGGTTGTCAGCGGAGATTGTCTTGTTATAGCTGATGATTCTCTGCCATTTGGAGATCCATCAGCAGAACGAAGAGTCAATCTTTCAAGTATTAGGTCTCCTAAAATGGGAAATCCTCGTAGAGAAGAGAAGCCTGCTCCCTATGCTCGTGAAGCAAAGGAGTTTTTGAGAAATCGTCTTATCGGAAAACAGGTATTGCTATCTTTTCTGATACCTCCTCTCCTTGTTTTAGAGGTACAGAATAAGAAAGGGATGATTTACTAACCTTATATCCTTTCAGGTGCATGTTTCCATGGAGTACTCACGGAAGGTCGGCATGGCAGATGGACCTGCTGCTCCCACCAGTGGTGCAGATTCAAAGGTGATGGATTTTGGAACTGTATTCCTGGCATCCAAGGATGGGGATGATGCATCACCTGCTCCATCTGCTGCTGGCAACCAGTTGGCTGGAGTCAATGTTGCTGAGCTTTTGGTTGCCCGCGGTTTTGCAACTGTTGTTAGACATCGTGATTTTGAAGAACGTTCAAACTATTATGATGCGCTTCTCTCAGCGGAATCACGTGCTACTTCTGGGAAAAAGGGCATTCATTCTCCCAAAGAAGCTCCGGTGATGCATGTAACGGACCTGCTAACGGTTAGTATCATTGTCACTGGTTGTCTCTTTTTATGTGACACTAGGGAACAACTAATCTTTCTGTTATACTTTCAGGCAGCGTCAAAGAAAGCTAGAGATTTCTTGCCTTTCTTGCAGCGTAACAGGAGGATGTCTGCTGTAGTAGAGTATGTCCTCAGTGGTCATAGATTCAAACTGTTCATTCCCAAGGAGACTTGCAGCATTGCTTTCTCTATTTCTGGAGTGAGATGCCCAGGTCGTGATGAACCGTACTCTGAGGAAGCCATTGCCTTGATGAGGCGGAAGATAATGCAGAGGGATGTTGAGGTAATATTTTTTCTTTCTTAGTTTTGTTATGTGCTACACATGAATTTCTCTCTTATTTCTTTCTTTTTGCCTTCTACATAGATCGAGGTAGAAACAGTTGACAGAACAGGGACTTTCATTGGAACATTATGGGAATCAAGATCCAATGTGGCGGTGACCCTACTGGAAGCTGGTTTAGCAAAGCTTCAAACTTCTTTTGGAACTGATAGAATCGCCGAAGTTCACCTCCTCATGCAAGCTGAACAGGCCGCCAAAAGGCAGAAATTGAAGGCAAGAGCAAGATCTGTTATACTTATTAGTCATGAATTTGTTCTTTACTATTTATTAACAAGTGGCTCGATATAGATATGGGAGAATTATGTCGAGGGAGAGGAAGTTGTCAGTAGTGGAGCAGCTGAAAGACGCCAAAAAGAAGAGGTGAAGGTAATGTAATTAGATCTAGTGCTTCTCAGTTAACTATTGTTTGTCATAATTTACCATATGGATGCATTGTGAATACTATTTCGTGTTATGATTTTCTGACTTCTATACTTTTACATGATTATGTTCTCAGGTCACAGTCACTGAAATTTTGGGTGGGGGTAAATTTTACGTTCAGTTGGTTTCCGACCAGAAAGTAGCCGCCATTCAGAAGCAACTTGCTTCTCTAAATCTTCAGGAGGCTCCTGTCATTGGTGCCTTTAATCCAAAGAAGGGTGATATGGTTCTTGCTCAATTCAGTGCTGATAATTCATGGAACCGAGCAATGGTATGTGATCCAATAATTTTATTACTCTTACTTTATTTTATTTACGTAGATCCATAAGCCTTTAAACAGTTGAAGATATGACTTGAATTACTGAGTACCCTAACTTTGTGCATTCTATAATATAATGTAAATTACCAGTTTGGATAGTTGTATGAAGTCAAACCGTTAAATCGTCTAAATACAATTTGGGACATTTCACTTGAAACATTACAGTTGCTACTTTTTATGTATTCAAAGAAAGTTGGAATGTGTGCTTTTCCATTCCAATCAAATTAACTTATTGCTTGAACTGTACTACTTTTTTTGTCATCACATAAACTGTACAAGTTAATCTAGTGTTTGCTTTGGCACTCACATATATATTATAAGTAAATCCCTGCTCATGTGATGTCCCTATCTCTTTAAAAATACCTTACTTGGTCTTGCTGCTGCTCTTGTCTAATGAATTGAACTTTGTTCACCATCTAGTTGTGTCCCATAAGCCTTTTTTCTATAGTTAATCCAATGCAGTTCTTTGTTGGTTCATTATTGTAGATTAGTGAAGCTTCATATCTTCTGAAGGATATAGGTGATTTTATTATGTTATATGTTTGCTTGTCATATCATATTCTTTTTCTGATTTTTCACTTTAAATAATGTTTAAGATTGTCAATGCCCCTCGCGGTGCTGTGGAATCTTCCAAAGACAAGTTTGAAGTTTTCTATGTTGATTATGGAAACCAAGAAGTTGTTTCATACAGTCAGTTGCGGCCTCTTGAAGCATCTGTGTCCTCCAGTCCTGGTCTTGCCCAGCTCTGCAGTCTTGCTCATGTTAAAGTTCCTGGGCTAGAAGATGATTATGGTCAGGAGGCAGCATACCGGCTCAGTGAGCTTCTTCTAAGTGGGCCAAAGGAATTTAGAGCTGTTATTGAGGAGAAAGATGCTTCAGGTGGAAAAGTTAAAGGTCAAGGAACAGGAACAGTCTTTCTGGTGACTTTGGTTGATCCTGAAAGTGATATCAGCATAAATGCTACCTTGCTTAAGGTTCGAAATTAATAGCCACTTTTATTTTAATTACGATTCAACATTATTTTACTCATTTCTATTTCTTTCGGATTCTGCTGAGTTTTTCAATAGCCACTAGGTCCCTGTTCAGTCCTCCCCTACAATATCATAGTAAAGCAGTGCCTTGTATTTGGCTGTTCAAATTCCATTTAGTTAGACCATCTTTTATCTGGTAGAGTTGGGTTTGAAATTCCTAGTTCTGCCATTTTCCTCTGTCCCTTTAAGCATTATGTTTTTTTTTTTCCGCTTGCGGTGTTATAACAAGGGACCTATAAAATTTTCAGGAAGGACTTGCTAGGATGGAGAAAAGGAAGAGGTGGGAGCCCAAGGACAAACAACAGGCTCTGGATGAATTGGAGAAGTATCAAACAGAAGCACGAGAAAAGAGGTTTGCAATGTGGGAGTATGGAGATGTTGAGTCAGATGAGGAGGATATCCCTGCTAGGAAACCTGCTGGGAAACGGTGAATGCTGCAACAGAGTTAAACTGGTGGCAATTGACAAAATTTGGATGGGGGGTTTATCCGCCTTAAAATCAGACAATTGCTGTCTAGAGAAATAGAGAGGTGAAAGTTTGAGTTAGCTTTATGTGTTGTTCACATGTAACTTTAGGAGAGAGAGAGAGACTTCAGGAGGTGAGAAATTTTGTTCTCTTTCTTTTTTCCCCCTTTTTTTCTTAATTTTTTTAAATTTATATGACTAAATAAACCGGCCTCCTTTGTCGTTCTTACATCAGGGATGTGTTAAATTTTATCAGAACTGAGAGGCAATATTTATCGTGATCGTTTTACTATCTCAATGTTTTTTTTACGAGTAAAAGGAAACAAAAACAAATGTTTTCATCAATTTATTGAATGCTATACCGGTAAATCCTTAGATTTTACTATAAAAAGGGATGGAGATGACACCCATATTCCACTATAATTCAACACTTCCAGTGTTCTCCCATTCCCAGTCCAGAGTCCAGACTTTCACCTCTTTACCATTTCTCTTCCCCCATTTCTCCCATCGATCTTCTTTTTCAGCTCTTTCCACTCCATAACTATTCAGAAAATTAGGAAACATGAAATAAGATTGGTTTAGAAGCAAATTAAATCAAGAAAATTCAAATACCATTAGGATATATACATACAGAGATCAAAAACCATTTAAAATTTTGTCACGACCAAATGCAATCGTGAGTTGTGGAATGATCGAAAGATGGAAGAAGGTAGAGTCTTATGTGGAAATATTATTCAATGGCACTGCCTTATGAGCATAAGATCTGTGTAAGATTAGTTTTTTTAAAAAAAAATAGACCAAGGTTTTCAAATAGAAATCGACAATTCACTACACGTATTTATTGTACCAAGCTTCAACACAAGTGGGCCAAATTATTTGGAGAATCGTTTTGGGCTTCTTACTACATGTGAATTTTTTCTCAACAAATGGCCACACGTATATGTAATGTATCATATTGCATAAATAGTATACAACCGTATATGTATGTAATCTATTATAATCATATATCAGAGATCTATATACAATTATATATATATATATATATATTGTTTATATATGTATAGCTATATATTAGAGATGTATATACATTCATATATGCTGTTTATGCAATATTTTTCATATACATATTTTTCTCAATCTCGATCAACTCAAATATCCTCTAAAAAGTTTCAAATTTTAGATATGAGTTCCTTTTAATGTTTGAGTCTTGATATATTATTCATGAAATGATTTTCATTTGCGGCACGTTGAATTTTAGAATCGAGCTTTGAAGAAGTTTTAATGGCTAATGGAGTTTTTCAATCCTGACCAACTCAAAATCTCTTCTAAATAGTCTCAAATTTTAGATATAAGTTCATCTCAATGTTTCAAGTGTTTTGATTAAATCACTCGAAATAATTTATGTCTACGACATATCAAATTTTAAAGTCGACCTTTTAAAGAAGGTTTAAATTAAGCTAAAAGAAGAAGCAAGAAGCTAAGAAGAAAATAAGAAGCAAAAAAACTGAAGAAGGAAGAGAAGTATTAGTGCAACTAAATGCACTTCGGCTGAAAATAAAATGTGCCGAATAACCATTCAGTAGTCAAAGTTATTTTTGACCCAATGAATATTTTGTCTAATTCTTCGGACTTCCGTTTAGTACTTCCTCCGTCTCAATTTATATGTGTTGAATTTGACACGAAATTAAAGATTTTTTTTATGAGACTTATGATCTTAAATGAGTCATCGATATTTATGTGATTAGAAATTATTTTATTAAAAATAAAATAAATATTTTTAAAATAGTAAATCATTATTCATTTTTTAGACTAACCAAACAAGGAAAGTAAATTGAGGGACTAATAAAACTTTTTCAGAACTTCAACGATTAAAGCAAGTCTGCACTAATCAACACTAAAAACAATTGGAGATGGGATTTAAAGTAAAACCTTAACTCTTTTTCTTAAAAAAAACCCACGGTGCTGACTTGGCAACAGCAACATTTCCATAGTGACGTGGCAGGAGTTTATTGGTGGATTATTGCACGTGGCCCTCCGTCGTCGTCGTCACAAAAATAGGAAAATCTGCCTGTCCTAATCAGGTCCAAGTACAGTCATTTTCTTTTAATCGAATTAGAACCTTCTTCTACTAGATTTTAAACTACCACTGGCACTTTAAGTAATTTTACCCAAAAAGGAGGTGAATCTTCTTTTCACTTCCCCTTCCCATCTTCTATATCGGGCTCACATATAAATTGGCACTCTACTCTACAGTTACGGGTTTTCATCTAAAAAATTCTCCTCATTCGATCCGCCGCCCGCCACCGAACACAGCGTCTGCATTCTCGTTTCTGGCCGGATTCCGTTAACCGTTGTTCTGAAGCAATCCAATTCACATGATTTGGTAGCTGATTTGCTTTTAGATCCGTACGTTACTCTGCTTTCTCTCTTTTCCTCCGTCTACAATCGATCCATTCAGCGCTAGTCATTCAGGTATGCTGTCGGATCGTTCATGCTTAATTGACGCTTTCATTTGTTTATGCATCAAATCAACTTACTTTTACAATTGAATGTATCGCCGATGCAATCCTCTGTATGTTTTTTCATGTGATGCTTTTTTTCCCTCAGTTGTTTAATGAATTCAAATCACTGAATTGAAGAATTGTTGTTTACTCTGTATGATATATGTTCCATGTGTTTAAATTGGGTTTAATCAAACCACTGGTTTGAAGATTTGCTTTTCACTCTGTAAGACATATGTTTCATGTGTTTAAATTGGGTTTAATAAATAAAAGGGCTGATAAAAGTGTATTAGTTAGAATTTATAGCACAACTTTGTAACAGAATTGAATAACTCCCCATTGATGGAAGGTGACAAATTATGTGACTGTTCCATGATTAGATGGTATCCATTCACAATGTACGATAATGTGGCTGATAAATTTTGGTAAGTAAGCATGACATGGTTTAGCGTGCATGCCTCGTCAACATGACACACATCGTGCTTGTACAATCCTGCTATATATAAATAGCTCATAATGAATTCACAGTTGCACATTAAGAAAAGAGTAGCTTAGTGATATACTCTTACTTTATGTGTAATTGGAGTATAAAGTGGTCTTTAGAAACTAGTCCTCTCTCAATTGCAATTCATAGTTATTTTTATCGATTAACGCGAGGAAGAAGCTACCCCGAAGGAGAGAAAACAGTTTCTCAGAACTAGAAAGTTCAAGAACTTTTGCTCAAGATATTCAAGAAATGCTACATGGTTAATCGTTTGTTCTTATAATTGTTGAATTACACTTTGATAATTTTAATGTGCCATTAGTTTTTTTAAAAAAAATTGGTAAATTGAGGTTAATGTGCAATTAGTTTGTTTTATATCAATGATAGTAAATATTACTAATTGGCGCATTATAGATTATCAAATAATGTTTTAATTTTATTGAGCATGTCTAAATTTGTACTTTCATATTTTTCCCAAAGGAGAATATGACTATACATTTAATAATAAATATACAATTTTTTAATCTGATAGTATGTTTGGGTTATAACTCAAAGCATTAACAAATTAACATATTTTATTTGTAGCATTTGCTCTTCGTTCACACTCTGCTTTTGTTATGACCTTCCTTTGATACGGGGAATGTGTTCTCAGAAAATCTTTCTCCAATCTAACCGAAATGGTAAACGATCCTTGTTCGCGATAGAGAACAAGACAACGAGCGAGCGTCTTTTGTTCGCTTCTTCTCCGCCAAGCACGGAAGTGTAAGGATAACCGTAGATCGGTGGCTACCTAAGGAAACTACAATTTGATTCGCTAACTTAACTTCCAACATTGATGTGAATAGATCAAATTCCATGTTGGAGTGTTAGATCTTGATTCCACACTGTATAATGAGAAGCCAATTGCTGTTATTGGAAGTAGCATTGGGACCGATCTACCATTTAAGTCATAAGCCTAATGTTAATTGAATGAATATTACGAGCAACATTAAGACTAACTCTTTCCAAAACTGGGATGAGGCGGCTTTGGGGCTAAGAGCAAAAGGAGTCTGGGCAATGAGCAGAAGAAATTGGGGGTTGATTCCGGCGCATATTTGGTGGACCATTTGGAAAGAAAGGAATTGCGGATGTTTTGAGAATAAAAGCAGCACCATATGGAAGATCAAGCTCAGTGGTGTTCTGCTATTTTTTTGGTGTATAAAGTCATATCCTGAAGACACATAGACAATCCTAGTTTTTGATTCATGTTAGAATTGTATCCCGTCTCACCTTGTTTTTGTTATTTTCTGTTTTGCACTTTCTTTTGTAGAGAGTTTTTTTGGTTCCCAAGTATTGGTAACCAATACTTAGTTGTTACCTATTCAAAGAAAACAAAACTCTTTCCAAAACTGGAAGTGCTAGATAGATTTTGAAACTTGTGGATGAATGCTTCTAAACAACTGATAAATCTCTTGTCAGGACACTAATGGGTACCTTGACGGTCATGAAGTTTATGGTTTTGTACCATGCATGAGCACGTCATTGAACTGACAAATATAACAATAAGACTTAAGACCTTGGAAATGGAGGTAGATGAGAATTTCCTTGTGAAATTCATCATTAACTCATTATTGTTTGGGCCTTTCTAAATGAACTACTACATCATGAAAGACCAATGGAACGTGCATGAAATGCACAAAATGTTGGTGTTTGAGGAAACTAGGCTAAAGAATAAAAAAACTCACATCATTAACCTTGTCAGCCATCAAGGAGCTAAAAAGAGGACAAAAACACGACAAGGGTAAATAGAGGCAACATAATGTAACAAGTCATCTCTCCAATTACGTAAGAAAGAACACATGAATGTTAAGTGTCGTTTCCATGGAGAACCTAGCACTTTTAGAAATATTACTTGAAAGGTAATGTTCAGTTTGAGAAGAAAGGTTAACCTAGTGCTTTTACGTGTCTTAAATTAAATCTAATTGA